GCCCGCAGCTCCCAGTGCACGCCCGGCTCCTGCGGCCCCGTGTCTTCTGCTCGGTACGGTTCCTCGACTCTCCGGCCCTGTGTCTTCTGCTTGCCCGCGCTGGAGCGTCTTGCAGACGTCCTCCTGGAGCTGTGCTGCTGTGTCTCTGTGCCGCTGTGTCCTGTGGAGCTGTGCCGCTGTGTCCCTGTGTCGTTGACCCTGCACGATGGCTGACTTCGTCCTCCGCCTAGACGCCGAGTGCCACGCAGTTGACATCGCCGCCTGGCTGTCTGACCTCCGCCGTCAACTCACAGGTTAGCGCCAGGATGGGCACTCCTTGGTTGTCCATGCTGATGGCTTGCCCCCCGCCCCCCTGAGCCTGCTCCCCTCCCTGCTGATCCCACCTCTGTTGAGCGTGAGACTTTCTCTGCTGCTGCACTTGCCTGTGCCATCTGGGACTCTCGCGATGCAGTTGCTCAGGTCGCTATCAGTAACACACTCCCTATGTCTCAGCGTTCGCGTTTCGCTACAGTTGATACAGCCAAGGCTTACTTAGATGCTGTTGTTGCTCGCTATTCCACGCCTGCCTCCGCTACTGCAGGCCGCCTGCTCTTCCCTATGCTTTTCCCAGACCTTGCTTCCTTCCCTACTGTTGCTGACCTTGCCACTCACCTGCGAGCCCTAGAGTCTCGCTACCGCACTGCTAGCACAGCTGCCCAGCTCACTGCGCTCCCCCCCCCCTTCTGCATGACCCTCTACTTTATCACTATGCGCCTCCCTGACCGCCTTGCTAGTGCACGCGACCACATCCTTAGCCAGCACCCTGGTGATCTCACCCTGACAGCCTTTGTCACCGCCCTGACCGAGATCGAGACTCGCCAGCGCACTATCGCTCAGTCGAGCGGTGCGCCGGCAGTCTCTATCTTTCACGGCTGTGCCCCCTCCCAGTGCACGTTTACTGACGTTTTGGCTGCGGTCGGCACTGCGACCCCTCTGACCGAGACTGCAGCTGCGGTCAACCCACAGCAGCGCCCGCGCCGCGCTGGCCGTGGCCGCCAGGGAGGGCGTGGTGGTGGAGCTGGTGGTGGTGGTGGTGCCGGGGACAGTGGTTCTACTGAGGGGACTGCCGCAGCTAGTCAGGAGCAGCAGCCGTCGCCCCAGCAGCAGGAGCAGCCGCAACAGCCATCGCAGTCGTCGCAGCAGCTGTCTCAGCCCCTGCCGTGGGCTCGTCTCCCGCCAGGTTGGCCCGGCACCTCCGTAGGTGGTGGCCGTGGTGGCGGCCCGCGCAGCTTGGCGTCTACCGGTAGCTCTGTTGGTGTGCCCTGCCAGTACCAGCTTCAGATTGGGCCTCTCCGCGGCACTCTGTGCCGCCGCCCGCACCCGACCGCCCGCTGTTTCCGCCGCCTCGACGATCTCTTTCGTCGTCGCTTTGGCCCGGCCCTGGACCTCCCCGACTGGCACAGCCTGCTTCGCCAGGGCATGCCGATCTTTGAGTTAGACATGGATCAGATAGGTGCTGCTTTGCATGCCTTGTATGCTGACGCTTCTTGTGTTGCTGGATCTTATTACCCTGTGTACTCTAGTTTAGGTGTAGCACCCTTGTGTAGCTTAGCCTCCCCTGCTGCGTCAGGCGTAGGACTGCCTAGTTTGACTAGCCTCGTTCCTGCACTGACCCTGTTCCCGGCCTCTGCTACTGCCTTGCTGTCCTTCACTCTCGACTCCGGTGCTTCTGCCTGTTTCTTCCGCGACCGCTCCACCTCACGCCGCTTGCCGCGCCTGCTGTTGTCGCTCTCGCTGACCCCTCTGCGGATCCTGTCGTCGCTCGCAGCTCCACTTCCCTTCCCTGTCCAGCCGTTCCCTCGGGCTCCCTTATAGGCCTCCACGTTCCCTCGTTCTCCAGGAACCTGGTTGGTGTCGGCTGGCTTCTGGACCTCGGCGTCACCACTACATTCCCTGGGCACGAGCGGTTCGCTGTCTGTACCGAGGATGTCTCAGGTTCCCCCCTTGCGACGTTCCCCCGGGACCCGGTGTCCGGTCTGTTTACCCTCGACACCGCTTCCCCCCCGGTTGGTGCGTCCTCCCAGGTCGCTGCAGCTTGCTCGTGTCGGTCCCTCACTCACCCGTCCCTTTTGTGGCACCACCACTTAGGTCACCCAGCTCTTCCGTGTGTGCGTCACATGTCCCAGCACGGTCTTGTCTTAGGCCTCCCCGCGTCGCTCCCCGCCCTCCCCCCTCGACTGCTCCACCGTGCACGCCTTGCGTCGAGGGCCGGCTCCGCCGTGCCCCTCACTCCTCCTTGCTTCGCCCTGCTACTGCTCCCCTTCAGATCCTGCACCTGGACGTTTAGGGCCCAGCCCCTGTCCCCGGACCGCGCGGTGAGCGCTACTTTCTTGTGCTCGTCGACAACTACACGCGCTACACCACGGTGTTTCCCCTAAAGCGGAAGGCCGACGTGCCCGACGTTCTTCTCCCGTGGGTTGTGGCTGCGCGTCTTCACCGCGGTCTCCCCGTGTTGTGTCTCCACTCTGACCGTGGCGGCGAGTTCGCCTCTGGTCGGCTTGGCCAGTTTTGTCGTGCGGAGGGCACCACCCAGACGTACACCTTGCCAGACTCGCCACAGCAGAATGGGATTGCTGAGTGCAGGACTTCCCTTCCCACGTGACTCGCCGAACTTCCCTTCCCCTGTGTCTCCGCCTCAGCTGTCGCAGTCGCCGCCACTGGTGCCGCTGTCGCAGCCGCCGCCGCCGCCGCCGCTGGTGCCGCTGTCGCAGCCGCCGCCGCCGCCGCCACCGCTCTTGGCCTCTGGGGGTGCTGGCGTTGAGGTGAGTGTTCGTCCTGCGGCTCCTGGCGTGGTCTGTACCGGCGGGCCTGGGGGTGACACTGGTGCTGGAGGGGGTTCGTTCTCTGGGGGTGTTGGTTCTGGGGGTGCTGCCGTTGAGTGTTCTCCCGGCGGTCGTCGTGCCCCTGCCGGTCCGCGAGTCGAGACCTAGCCGCCGCAGCAGCCGCCGCAGCCGTCGCCACCGGTCTCCGCTCTTCGCCTGCTCGGCCTTCCCTCCCCTGACCGCTCGCCGGTGTCTCCCCCACCACCTTCTCACCTTCCTGTCTACGGCCCTGTGTTCCCGCCCCCGAACTCTTCTTCGGCCCGTCTTCCTCCTCTTTCCCCTTTTGTGTCCCCTCCGCTGTCTCCTGACCCTACACCTCCGTCCCACGTTTGGTCTCGCCGTCCCTCACGTGCTCATCCCGTCTCTCCTGTCCTGCGCTCCCACCCTATGTTGCTCCGTTCCCACTCGTCTCATCCTCCCCTCCTCCCCTCGCCTCCTCCCTCGTCGCTTGTTGTTGCACCTCCCCCGCTGTCTGACTACCTCCGTGCCGCTCGTCCCCTTGTCCCTCGGGTCCTTGCCTCTCTTGTTACAGACCCGTCTGTTCATGTCTCGCGCCTTGACGCGCTTGTCTCTGATGTCGCTGACTTCGCCTCTACCCGCCGCCTTGACTACGCTACCGCTCTGGTCTCTGACCCTGCCCGTCCTCCGTCCGTCGGGGGTGCACCTGCCCTTGGCAGTGACGTTCTAGAGGATAGGCAGTACGAGCTTGCTTTCCTTTCCAAGGCCGCTCCCCATCTCTGCTCCATGCTGCTAGTCCCAGAGGGTGACCCAGACGCCTTCGACATCCCGACCCCTCGCACCTACGCTGAGGCCACCTCGGGACGCTAGGCCTCTCAATGGATAGCTGCCATGGAGCAGGAGATGGCATCTTGGAGGTCCACCAGCACTTACGTCGACGCAGTTCCCCCTCCTGGGGTGAACGTAGTCGATGGTCGGTGGCTCTTCAAGGTGAAGCGCCCCCCTAGAGAGACGCCTGTCTTCAAGGCGCGCTTCGTGGCTAGAGGCTTCAGCCAGCGCCAAGGGGGTGGACTTCTTCCAGACCTTCACCCCGACCCCGAAGATGACTACTCTTCGGGCACTGCTACACATAGCAGCACAGCGCGACTACGACCTTCACTCCCTCGACTTCTCTACTGCCTTTCTTCAGGGCAGCCTACACGAGCAGGTCTACCTGCGCCGACCACACGCCTTCACTAGTACCTTCCCCCCTGGGACCCAGTGGCTTCTCAGGTGCCCGGTCTACGGGTTGCGCCAGGCTCCTCACGAGTGGCACGACACGCTGCGTGCCACGCTAGCAGACCTGCAGTTCTTTCCGTCCTCTGCTGACCCCTCGCTTTTTGTGCGTTCCGGCCAGACTCCGTTCTACATCCTTGTCTACGTAGACGACTTGGTCTTCGCTACTCTTGAGAGGGACGCACTGGCCTCCGTGAAGGCAGAGCTGCTGAAGAGACACACCTGCACTGACCTTGGAGAGCTGTGTCGCTCTCTTGGCCTGCAGATCTCCAGGGACAGAGCAGCACGCACCATAGCTTTGACACAGTCACACTTGGTGCGCCAGGTCCTTCAGAAGTTCGGTCTTCAGTTCTCCTCTGCACAGCCCACACCTCTACCTGTAGACCATGGGCTCTCCGCTCCCGTTCCTGAGGAGCCAATACAGCCCAGCGGCCCCTACGCAGAGCTGGTGGGTTGCCTCATGTACCTGATGACTTGCACTCGCCCAGATCTCGCATACCCTCTCAGCATCCTGGCTCGCTTTGTGGCCACCGGCAGACACCGACCACAGCACTGGTCGGCCGCTAAGAGGGTTTTGCGATATCTAGCAAGTACATCGGGCATGGGGTTAGTGCTTGGAGGACCCAGGCCAGCGGTTCTCACTGGGCACACAGACGCTTCTTGGGCAGACGACTTTGAGACTCTCAGGTCGTCTAAGGGCTACTATTTTAGCCTTGGTTCGGGTGCTATCTCTTGGAGATCCACTCGCTCGTCGTCTGTTGCTCAGTCCAGCTGTGAGGCTGAGATCTACGCCGGTGCCATGGCGGCACAGGAGCTCCGCTGGCTTACCTTCTTCCTCACAGACTTAGGTCAGTGGCCTAGCTCTCTCTCTCTCTCTCTCTCTCTCTCTCTCTCTCTCTCTCTCTCTCTCTCTCTCTCTCTCTCTCTCTCACTCTCTCTCTCTCTCTCTCTCTCTTTCTCTGCCTCTCACTTTCTTGCTCTCTCTCTCTCTCTCTCTCTCTCTCTCTCTCTCTCTCTCTCTCTCTCTCTCTCTCTCTCTCTCTCTCTCTCTCCTTCTCTCTCTCTCTTGTCTCACTCTTTCTCGCTCTGTCTCTCTCTTATTCTCTCTCTTGCTCTCACTTTCTCTCGCTCGCTCTCTCTCTCTCTCTCTCTCTCTTCTCTCTCTCTCTCTCTCTCTCTCTCTCTCTCCTCTCTCTCTCTCTTTCTCCTCTCTCTCTCTCTCTCTCTCTCTCTCTCTCTCTTTCTCTCTCTCTCTCTCTCTCTCTCTCTCTCTCTCTCTCTCTCTCTCTCTCTCTCTCTCTCTCTCTCTCTCTCTCTTTCTCGCTTGCACCATCTTTCTCTTGCGAAGCATCGCATG